ACTATAGATGCACCCAAAGGCATAATCCTCAAAGCAGGCTTCGCACTTTGGCGAGTCGTGAGGCCTACATGATCAGAACCAAATGCAGTCTCTTTAAGCTCTGTTTCATAGGAGGAGTATTGCCCGGAAGGCACACCTTCTACTCCGCCCAAGAAGGCAAGAGCCGGCACAATCAGACCTAGCACAGTCTTCACGTGCATGATTGCAAGTTGGGTACAGAGAAAGTGTACAAGTGATAAAAGAGTGTATGGCGTTTGATATGTCTGGAAAGAGGGTTCGAAATGAGAAAATGGGAGGTTAAAGAGGAAGAGAAAAGTAGGACAATGCAGATGGTAAGATACACCGCTATCTCTAAAATTAGTCCCTGAAGATACCAGCTCATGCACCATGTATTCTCGAGAAAATAAACCGCAAGGGCAATTCATAGTAGGATTTTTAAAATAAGCACTAATATAGATTACCTAGTACATGGGGGCGGTTTCAATTTCGCGCCTAGTAGATTGTCTCAAAGCCGCGGTATTGATGGGCGACAGTAATGCTACCACCAATGCCGTCTTTATCCACCAATTAGAATTCTTTATTTCACAACGGTCCTTAGATACCAGATGCTGCGCCGCTATGTCTAATCCTTTCGAGTAGTATATAACTGACCGTATTCACGTAACTGTCCGGGGTTCTTCTATCCCACGGACTAGTAACATGAAATCCTACGGATTACTAACATAGCATTCTACGGACAAGTGGTAGCAAATCCTACGGACTAGTCACACCAAATCCCACGGAATACGAACAGAGTATCCTGCGGAGGGCTGGGATCAGCACAGGTTCAGTATTGCTACATGAGTTCGAGTGTGATCTAAGCTGCAATGTAAGTACCGATTATTTACAATTCCGAGGCCTCTGGGTTACAGAGAACTCAGTCAGCCCCTGGTAAATGTACTGGGATTTTGTTACATCGCATGACGGTTGAAATTAATACTAGGAGCTAAGCCTCAACGTGCAATCAGAGAAATTTTCTCCTTCCCTTTCTATCATGACTCATTTCACTAAAGTCCCTGTCAGAAATCCTTTCAAATGCCGACTTTAGCATCTTGTCTTATACAAGCTTTTGCCCCTACCCTCAATCAGTCACAACATCAATTCGGATTTTCTCAAGTTACAACACCTCCAAGATTTGCTGCATTTGCACGAATACACTACAAACCATGCACTTCCAGTCGATAACTGTAGCAGCCGCCTTCTTGAGTGCAGCAGCTGCCATTCCCTGTTCAGACATCGGATGGTCGAGTGGTATTGAGGGCGTAAACCCGGCCTTGGATCCATTTGATCCACAAGGTCGCTGGGAGGTTGTGAAGGCCAAAGAATGTTGGGTACGCTTTCAAAGTTACGAGCCAGGTCAGAATCCAAAGGATGTCAGGGTCACCAAAACGGAGTTCGAGGCAACTCCAGCGCAAGTCCTTGGCACAATCAACAACTATTTTGGTGGCCCTGGAAATATCATGCTCTGGCTTCCAATGAAGACAAAAAGCTTTCAATATGTACGTACAGTTCCAATTGTCGTTGTTCATATCTTACCACAATTGGGATGTGAGCTGTTCTTGGAAAATCTCATGTGTCGTGCTGGTCTCCGAGATCCACAACTTCTATCGTACTGTAACATTCCTAATCTATTACAGGCCAATATCCTGCCGCCGAAAATTAACGACGATTTTCCAGTCGTCGATGGTCAGTCGTCTATAGTAAAGGGCCGAACTGTACTTTCCATTAGTAAGTTACATTTACCTTAGCAACACTCCTCTGCTAATTATAACTATTTGAAGTCCTCCCTAGCGGCGCAAAAAAGCTCGAGATCGTGCAGCCAAGGGCTACTGAGCAGGATGAAAGCAACATAAACAGAGAGAGGGCAGAAGAAATGGGGATTACCGGACTCAAGGGTACAATATCATCAGATGACTGGGCCTATTCTACAGCTGCTGAGGCCCAGTTGACCCTACAAAGCATCTACAGGGAACAACTCAATGCTTACATTGAAAGGAGGGAACCTAACTTGAAGAACGCTTGGGTCACAGCGGAAAAGGCAGACAGTAATGACTGCGTCGTTATCGATTTTCGAGACTTCGAGAAATTCATACTCCGACCTAGACCAGCTGCTCGGGGTTAAGATAGGGTTAGTATCGACTTAGGCGCATGGCAGGTTGTGTTTTCATAACTCGTTTTCACAAGAAGGGTCATAACTAAACAGTCAAGCTCACTGTCCTTGCACTCCTTAACGCGCGAGATCTGACTAGGCTGAGTGAGGAACCTAAAGTCAGTCAAAGTCTATGCAGTATAAGCTGATAAATTAGCTAACCGCCGAGGAGCAAAATGCAATAATAATTATGCTTTCACTCTAAGAACACGGCGAGAGACTAATGAGACATAAAGATATGGTCGACGCAGAAGCTTTGTTTGATGCGTACATGGACGTTCTGACCTCAACCTTTCGGTGGGACTCGTCAGAAGCTTGCGATAAAATATTTGGCCTCCTCGGCCTTCTACAATAATGCACTGAACGCTGTATAAAATTTCATAGGTCGAACTCAACAGGAAGTTTACACATTTGTGGCCTGCTACATACTGAGCAGCCAAGTCAGCGGGCCGCGTAGGTTCTCGCTCTTATACCACATCCACACAACCGCAAGACTGGACTCTGTCCCGTCCTGGGTGCCCAAATTTCACTCGCGAGCCTGTACTATCCCCTTGGATCCTCGACAACAGTCCCCCGCTTACCTCTTCAACGCTTCGGATTCAGTTCCGGCGGCATGTGAGCAAATTTCGGGCGCGGAGAGCTCTGTTCCCATCTATAAACTCCGAGCACTTATTCTGGATAAGGTTGACGTAAGCATATAGCGCTCGTTGAGCGTGGGGGATTGAAATTTTACCATTATCTCGAGAGAGCGTTACTGCGTTCGGCTTGGACGAGTTCAGCCCCTGTATTTTTGTCAGTTGAGCCTCCCTGGTTCTTCACAACAAGGAGGGTACCTCCACCAACTGGTTCTCCATCCAAGTCGTCAACGCCAACGAGCCCGTCTCAAGCCTCGAGGTCTCCATGATGGGCTCGGCGCAAAAGTGATTAACGAAAGGATCAAGTCGGAATGAGTTGGGTTTATTACATTTTCAACGACCTAGCTAAAGCTGCAGAAGATACTGTTGACTCTCGTGTTTCTCATTTTCGTATATGACTGAGTAAATCTATTAACCATTCTTTCCGTTGCAGCAAGCCCGCTTTCGGCCATCGCCATGACCCCTCGTCAAACATGGTGGAAAGACGACGAGTTTAGCCGCGATTTCAAAGGACGACACGGTCGATGGCAAAACATATCGATGGAATCTTTATCCCAACCGACAAGTTTTTGCTCGGCCGCGGCACAGTCAGGTTTTAAGGAGAAGTGCAGGCAACTCGCAGCAAAAGCGTCGCTTCGGCATTTGTCGAGCGCGTACCAACTCGAAGGCGCTGCCCTGACCTATGCTCAATGCGACCCACCATTAGAGGCTTACCGCTCATACCGTCGGCGAATCAAGACTATGGCCGATCCGATGTACGACTTCGCTGACATGGGCATGAACTCAGGAAGCCACACGCGATTGCCGCAGTCATCGCCACTGGACAACGCCCCCACAAGATTGGTGACGGATGTTTCGAATTCCACCAGCGATCTTACGAGGCCTGCGCCGGACGTACATTCGTCTCCTCGGTCTGAGGACGACTTGGGCTTGGTCCATCAAGCACCATGAAGGGCGACATTGTGGTGCTGGTGTGTGACGCCACCACGCCGTTCGTCATGCGCCGGGTGATGGCGAACGACGGGTCGACATCGACGAAGACGATGGCAACTACCTACGGATTTGTCAGCGCGGCTTATGTGAATGGTGTAATGAACGGAGAAGCCTTTAAGGACGTAGCGGCGACTGAGTAGATATGCTGGTTAAGGCTCAGCTAGCCGGCATGACGGCACAATGTGGTGAAGAGACCTTTGCTAGGCTGCCACTCTCGCCTCGCCTGTGGGCCGAATCCAGGAGTGGCTTCAGGTACACTGCTTCTGTTGACTTTGTGACTGGCCAGAGGCATGAAAGCTTTTGTCTTATAACAAGATAATAGTAGGATTGACTTCCAGTGATGTATGTAATATTCAATATTGCATCTAAGAGCTTCATCGGCGTTTTGAAGACTGAGATTTGCCCAGTCTCTGCGTTACAGTTGGTAGATTGAATGTACCGGTTGCTATTAATGGGAACTTACTTGTCTCACACTCTTCATCGTCAATTAGAGAACAGGATCCTTCTTCATGTTATGAACAAGGCATTTCCCAGCAAACTTGAGGCTTTGGGCCAACTGTGAGTTCGATACAGCCAATCATTGGTTGTAAATTCTCCCATAGAATTGTGATCCTTGTAGGTTCTATACTGTTGTACTGTTGAGATCAGTCGCGGAGTATTTACAAGTCAGCGTCACAACGACTGCGGTTTTGGCTCCAGGCGAGGCAGTCGCGCTAATGTAGGCTTGACTCCCTCCCGTGTGTTCAAAACTTTCGCCTTCTCTCCCACCTCTTGTCACTGAGAACCCTACTTGTCAACGATGATTGTAGAGCTCTCGCCTTGCATTTCGAAGATCTTTCGAGATGATACTGCCGTAATGTCCATACCGCGCTTTTCGTCCCCTCCATCCTGCGACTTCCAACCTCATCGACGACGTCGCCGCCGCTGTTGCCATCGCCCTCCACAACGCATCCATATATCTCATGCGTGTTATACCATCACAGCAGGATCAACATTGCCATTCTCGCATATCTCTGACAATGACAAATGCCTTAACGAAGTCGCGCATAAACGACGTGTGTACCCCTCATGTCCGGACATGGAGAGAATTTCCCTTGCTCGCACTCCTGGACTACCGGGTCACCCTCCTTCAAAAGAATGACTAAAAAATATCGTCTCAACTAGCAAAATGATGGGTTTACAGTCTCCGGTACAGGGAATCGAACCCTGGGCTCCGCGGTTCTTGTTTCTCTCAGGTTATGAGAGCGCGAAATGTTAGCCACTACACCATACCGGATATAGCTGATTGATGAAATCGTCGCCGATGTTGCTGCTCATGAACAGCGCCGGCCTCAGAGCTTTGCCACACACGCTGAGATCTGGCAGGCTTCTCTTGGCTCTGTGGGTTCAAATATGTTGTTCTCATCGCCGCTGGCATAAGGGAGTCGATCAGTGCGCCAGCTCAACCGAGTACGCAGGTTGTCACCAGCTGCTCAAGTGAATATACGAATCCACTATGCTGGCAGGCACAAACGCGAACAAGCATGGCATGCTATCTTTGTTCTTGTCTTTTTCCTCTTTTCATTGAAGGTACTCCACGCTGTTGGCTTAGGCTTCGGTCATAAGAGGCAAGGATCTGGCTGGTAAAATAGCTCACAACACGGTCTATAGTGTTAATATAACGAGTTTTTTTGCAGATAAGGATGCTAGATCGCAAGAGTATTTACGTTCAGGGCATTCGGCCTGGTAGTGAAGGACAGTTACCAAGCTTCGAGACACCAATTCCCTCCCTCGTATGTAGGTAAAACCATCGAAGAGCAGAGAAACCGGTGGTAGTTGCTTGGGGCTTTTTGGTATGCTTTCCGGCCAATTCTTATTCTTTGCATGATGTGGCTATTAATCTCGATTGATGGTGGCAAACAAGAAAAAATGGCTTCTGATCGCTTGTGTATCGCCAGAAATAAACGGGTCTAGCCCTTAATTTTGCATATTACCTTAATCGTCTACGTATAGGTGCTTTCAACTATATTAACTTCCTTCCACGATGCTCTTATATGGCGTGTCAAGGTCCAGGAGATATCGCGATGCCAGCTCAACACCCGTAATGCGAGTGAAGTGCCAAGCTTGACCAACTTCAGGCTAAAGTTAAGCAGCAAACAGGAGAGTCGACCGAGTGGAAGACCACTTCAATTCTACTGGAATCAGGCACATTGTCGTCATTCTCTCAGCGACTTATCGACTACAGTTACTTTATATCTAGGAGGCCTTTAATAAAGTCAGGGCATGCAACCACAAGTCTTGAAAAGACATTCACGCGATTAAAGTAGCGGTGCTACCAGGGAAGTCAACAAGGCCTAATTCCACCAGTGTCCACTAGCTTTTAATCTTGGTAGCTGTCTTTGGATCGTGCGATTTTTGAATTTGCTCAAAGGCCCTTAAGAAGGCAGCTTTTCTTATTCGAGACGCGAAAGCGAGATATGTGGTCCTTTTCCATGTCCATCTCAAGAATCATGGTGATAACTACCGACCCACAGCATCCATGCAGTCTTTTCGACACCTTTATTTGATATCGGTTACTCTAACTGTTCGACGGCCAAGAGCCGCCATTCTACACCACAGTTAGAGTACATGTGTTTAGATTGGCTTATATTTAGTCGGGACCAAGATGGCATCAGGGATCTGGTGGCAGAAGTCACACAACATGACACAGCTCGACAGGCCAGCTATGATTTAAAAACACCAGTCCCACGATACCCTCCATCCAGAAGCTTCGCAATCCTCCACCGTGCAAACAGTCAGTTCTATCTACCTATCCACCCAGGACTAGGGAAGCATCGGAACTAACAAGGGACCTCCTTGTCAATACTGTCCTCGATCCTCTCAAGAGTAACAGTGAGCGGCCCAAACTGGGCACCAAGAACACTTGGCGGATCGTTCTCCGGGCTCTGACTACAGAAGTGTCGTTACTGCATGGAATGCTTAAGATGTCACTAAACAGTCAGTGATGGTGCAGACGATACGTGATTGGACCTTGCTAGACGGGAAACCTGTCGGAGTCATGGTACACTTCTCGTCGGCTGTTGACCAGCACGGCCGTAGGGGGGTCGATATTGATGGTGGCGGCATCATTGGCGGTGAAGGAACACTTTCGGTGATAGCAGCAGCACGCTTAGAGGCAGTGACAGTGTTGTCATAATCCCTATCATGGTGCGCCATCCTCAAACCGCTCGGGTATCTATCTTTGAAGGGATGGTCCTCGTCCCCGCCACCTTTTGGAAGGGCCTCATAGATTAGTTCCTCAGCGACTTTATCATCACGCTTATCGGCGCCTTGAGTCAGGCACGTCTGTCTGGTGGTATTGGGCACGTTTGGTTGGGCAGGACGAGCGGTGTTTTTAATGGTCTTCGTCTTTTTTTTCTTTCTTTTTTTTTCTCTCGACTCTAGACATCCGAAAATTCTCAACAGTCGAAACCTTATAGCAAGCTTTGGCGCCACTGTTACTGATAATTCCAGGGCGGCTTGACCCAGGAATGCTGATGAATTTGCAAGCCATTTGTATTAACTTGAATAAGCTAAAAATGATGTTGAAAAACAGAAAAGTAGGCAACAGGATGAACCTCGTTCAATCGTCCATCTTCATAGCTGTCCCATTATATTCACGACAGCCCCATGTCCGGAAGAGGCAGGCAGTCTTGTATCTCGACGATTAAGTCTGTACCTCCCCAACAGTCAGGAGATTTGTGGCATTGCCAATAACTCCCACCATCCCTATTACCTTGTCAAAAGTGATGGCGTTGTTTTTCTTCAGCCAACCCAACTCGCTGGGAAGGCGCTCGTTTTCTGCCGACCGCCAATGGTCAGCGTCCTGAAATATGGAAAGGACAGAAATGTTGAGCAGCACCCACCAAAAAGATATTCCAAGAAGTCTCTTCTGACAGTTCCACTATCTGAATCGCCAAAGACGACAATGGGAAAAGCAAGCTCAGTAAGGCTGAAGTTGTTCGTCGCTGATGTAAAGGTATAATTGGGGTTGGTGGACCGGGATTCGATTTGGCGAAATAGCTTCCCGTTAGCCAGCATCTCCACATCCAGTACCTCGTCAGTCCAATAAGCTTTGGTGGTGTCAAATGTTACTTGGTCAAAATCATGATTGTTTCCAAAATAGGCGTCGCGACGGCTGTATTTATCTGTCAATTCCAATATCAAAGGATGGAGTATGAAACAGATTGAGAGTCTCACCTCATGCTAGCATCGTGTTCCATGACATTATGTCGGTTGAGGTGATTCCTTCAGGAAATCAGTTAGCAGCCTTCAAACCTCATCTCATCAGGCTGATGCTAAGGAGACCGCAGAGTACCTACAGAGTAAATGAAGTGGCATTTGGTTCAGGATTGGTCAATCGAGCTTGCTCAAACAGCATCTTTCCAAGGGACTCGTCGAAATTAATACCCTTCTTCAAAGCGCTCACAATAACTTCTTCTGTCAAATTATTCCCATCACGTGGCAATAACCCGTGGTTGGCCAAGGCGTTCAGCATTGGGCAAGGACTCCGAGCTATTGACTTGTCAACACAGCCTGATCAAGACTATTAATTGAACGGAAGGACTTTACAATCATCAGGCCGTGGGGGATGCCATTCGAGAACGGAGTGGGGTTGTGACTTGGGATGAGCAGTGCCTGAGCGAACCAGGCAGACGAGGAGAGTAATTGAAAGCTTCATGACTACTTGATGGCTATGCAAGATGATGTAGGTTGACTGAGATGGAATTTCAAGCGGTAATAGTCGATAGGATTGTGGTCGGAGTATAAGATTTGTAAATGATCCATCGACTCTACTCTGCTTTTATAGCATAACATCCATTCGCCATCGCCACTCTGGGCTTCTGAGACTTGTCTATATTTCGAAATGGTCTACGGCAAAGCATATAGCCTTTCAACTAAATCAAAGGGTCCGGTGATCATTGCGTTTAGATTCGGTTCTAGGCTGCGCCGAAGTGTAGCAGTGGTTCTTAAGTTTGATATCTAGGCTTCCCGCTACTGTTTCCTATTTGATGCTAGGCCCACGGAATATTTCTGTGTCAGCGTAACCCGCACTGGGCAAAGATTCACTATAATGGAATTCAAGCCCAAGACTACGAAGCGTTGATTGTGCCGCCGAGCCAATTGTGCTTTTAGGTTTTCTTTTTTTACGCCACAGGTCGCGTCTCCTGATGTAACTAATAGAAAGTACCAATATTACCCAACCAGCTTCGTTTTAAGCCGTGTGCGGATCCAAAGTTAGCTTTCACGAATGTAATATCGTTTTTTAAAGTTTTCATTGGTACTCCATTTCGCAAAAGAATTAGGTTTGTAGGCCATTCTACCGCACTTCATCCGCAGTCATATTTTTTCTGGCGTCTAGATAATATTAAATCTTACTAATTCTTATTGGCATAATTATCTCTATTTCATTTATTTTACACTGTATGTGATATAAGATTCAGCCTTCCGAGTAAAAAGCACTCTGCTACAGCTTGACCCACTGAATTTGCATAACTTGATGCACGTACTCATCATTGACAGGTTTGGTACCTCATCTTGTCAGGTGTGGGCAGAGACTTTACGTATTGCGTTTTTTTATTAACTGAATTTGTTTCTCAATTAGCCGCTGTCAACCAGTGTCGTTATAATGCAAGCTGCATGCAGTCCGGGGTCTTATGTATTAATGGACCTACTTCTACATTTATCGTTTTACGACTCTGTCGCTGCCCAAGGAGCTTTACTGCTCTTAATTCGCCACAACGCCGGCAATCAGCTCAAAGGCAACATGAAGAATTGACTATGATTTGCAACTTTTCCAACTCCGTCTGTGGAGGTTCGATCTGATTATTCGTTGTGGGTCTTTCAGTCTACAGCGTGTAAATTCGAATGACCCAATGTTGTAATTTTGTCTTGAGACCATGTGCTTCATCGAACGTTCCACTTCTCTTAGTTACGAAGGCTTGAAGCTGGGTAGTTGATCGTTCCATTTTTACTTCGAGTTTCTCCTTGGCTGTCCTAAACTCGAGAGGGCGGCCCTTCCAAACCGAGATCTCTTGTTGACTTTTTCAAAACGAGTTTTCCATATGGGACATTTTCGCTTAAATGCTGCTCGTCTGTTCATGAAGATGTGCTTCCTGATCTATTAATATTATCGCCAATGTACTACCAGCAGCTCCTTCATTCGCTAGATGGCCCTTTAACCACTGAATAGACAGTTGGAGTGCCTGGGAATCTCGGCCTGTTACCATGTCACGAGAGGGGTGATACTGGCGCGTC